GTCTCTTCTGTCGCTCCCCGTCTACGTGGACTTATGTAGTGAGAGCCGAAACGGCCACTTTTCCGCCCTGCCTGCCTCTGGCTTGTGGCTGACGCTGAAACAATTCAGACCTTCTTCCCCGCTGACACTGGCAGCAGCCTTTGCCAGGTTTGCTTAGCCAGAGATTCCCGGGAAGCCTGTCGGGTTTCCGGCTGTCTTGGTGATGGATACTTTCTGCGGCTTTTGGTAGCAGCTCTCGGTGTTGCTGGCTCTGAGCAGCAGCGTAAGCACCAGAGAGCTGAAAACTTGCAGTTCTCTTTAAAAGGGCATTTCCGAGCATTCTTCTTAGGGCCCAGCCACCTCATCTCTGAAATCCTGCCTGCTTTTTTTTTTTTGCTGACGTGGTCAGTGTAGTTGTCTGTCTTTATGTAAACTGATCACAATTTGTGATTTACAAAAATAGTAATAATCACCCAACAACATCCGATGTGGGCACTCTTTAATAGTACCATACCAAAGGTTCAGGGTTCGTTCAGAAGAGTTAGTTCTTCCTGAGACTTGCTGTAGTTATCTGATAGAGTTTTAGGAATGGTGAAATTCTGGAACATACTTGTGGTTTATATATCTTATTTTTTATTCGTTAACCTGAAGATCTAGACCAAGGTCCTGGTGTACTGTGGGAATGCCTATAGTTGCACTCAACGTAGTTTTTTGTATGCCACTTGCTATATGTTTGAGGTTTTTTTTTAATAGTTCTAAGTTATGTAATAATAAGTAGTTTTGACTATTTCTAGTTAAGCCAACTGCAGTATTTCACAGCTTACTCTTTATGTAGTTTGATTCTTGACTAATAGCTCTGCTCTGACGTGTTGTAGCTGCATTTAGCTACCAATGGTATTTTGGTGTTTTTTTGAGAGACGTGTCTGCCTTTAGTTGGTAGTGTTTGTTGGCACTGTTAGGAGCAAATGGATTAGAGTTGCTGGCTCACTGAAGGTCTCATCCTGGTAAGGATTATGCTGTTGTCACTGTGGAGGCGGAAGTTGCAGGAAGTCTGGAGAGAACCTCTAAAGGTCACCTGTGTCTGTGGTGCACCTGTGCCAAGTGGCAGCACAGGGGTCTCAGCCCAGTCAATGAAGGAGCTTGGATCTGCCATGGCCCAGGGGACGTAGTGGGCGTGGTGCAACATAGTCTTTTTTAAAGCAAGTTGGAAATTGTCCATAGCTTTACTCCTAGGTGGATCACGTTTATATAAAACTTGAACAGATTGATTCTTGTCCAGACCATTTTGAGAGTACCTCTGGGTAGCCTCATTAGCGTTCAGTTAATCATTTGAAAGTACTTCCTAATGTGCAAGCTTCATCTTTTTTTGAAATTTAAACAGGTGACTACTTACCCCACCGTCAGGGGTAAAAGGGACTAGAGTTCTCATTTTTCTTCATGTAACAGCTACCTTATTCAAAGGATCTGTGTGGTCTGTAGAAAACACAGCTGAAGGAGAAAATTGATCCAGTTTGCTCAGCCTGTACTCACAGGTTGTTTTATAAACTTTTTGAATTCTAGTTGCTATTCTCAGAGTTTTATTCTGCGTACCTAGCTCCTTAAAACTGGATATCTGAGCCGGAGGCAGCACTTATGATTTGTGTATTGAGAAGAGCAGAACCCTTGCTTCTATGCCTTTCATTGCAGTGCTCCTGTAATATAGTTGAGAAGAAGCTGCTTTTTTAAAAAAGACTCTATGTGGGAGTTTCTGCCTGCCAAACCACTGAGATGCTGCAAAGCTTAGATTTACCCTTTTTTCATTGCATATTCAATCACGGCCCTTCCCCCCTAAAATATATTGTGTATTCAAATAATATTGTTGAAAAGCCTAGATTTATTCCCAGACTTTAACAAATGTGCAGGGAGTGTGTGAACAGGTTAAACTCTCTGTGGGTATGTAATCTTCTAAGTAGAAATTAGTAATCTAGCAGTTACTTAAAGGCTTGTACAATGTACTGCTTATAGCTGAAGGGTGTGTTTGTCTAGGAATTCATCTGTGTTTCCTTGAGGATATATTAGTACATTTATTATAGGACTGTCCAGCTTCAATTTACTAGTCACTTTTGTCAGGATCTAAACTACCACTTCAGTGTGTAGTAGTGAAAGTTGCCTTTAGGTAAGACTACAGCTAACAGAAAATCCTGGAAGATCAGTATGAAGATGGCAAATTCTCATGGCTTTAATTCTGTAAGCTTTTTTTGATTAGCTTACTGATCAAGTAGTCTGCATGGTGAAGTTTGTTTTGTGTACAAATATTTTCAGGATTTCCATGCTGTTATGGTTACAGGTCTTTTGTGGTGTTATGAAACAAGTATGAATGGACCAACTTGGATAGTATCATTAAATGTCAGCATGCTTGTTTAAAAAACAACACTCCACCCTCGAAACTTTGAAGAACTCACAATACCCTTATAAGGATAGACTTAAACTTACCGAAGTATATGATACTGCCAGTCATATCTCTCCATTGAGCTACTTACTGTCAAAACGAAGATCAAATTAATTTTGCACCTTCTAAAAAGCTGTGTTAGGTACACTATTAATTTATTATTTTTTTTTTTTAAGGAGAGGTATTAGGATTTATCAAGGAAAACTTTAGGCTTCTTTTATATGGAAGATAGAAACCATTAGTTTAATTTTAATAGAGGCAAATAGTAGGTAGTTTTTGACCAAGTGCATCCCAGATGCAACAGGTATTTAGAAAATTAACAGTATCACTTAAAAAAAATAACAACCTGAGATCAAATGAAATGAGGCTATTCTAATTTAAAGGTAAAAGAAGGTCTTGAGAAATATGTTCTTGGTAAAACAGCCTAAAGCTGGGTTTCAAATTGTCACTAATTTGTCTTTTGAGTTACCTTCATGCAGTGCATATGGAACATGCAAAACCAGCAATCTGTCTGCAAATGGTACTGAATTCTAACTTTCTGAATCTGTATTGTTTTTTCTTTCACTTCCATGCATGATCATTGTCTTCATTGAAATGAAAAAAAAACCACAAGAGCAGCTACTAGCCACTGCTTGTGACGTCTCTGTGCTGAATATCAGTGTTTTAGGCATCACAAAAATAATTGAGCTGATTATGCTCTGCCTTCACTGGGTTTGTCTTCTGAAAGATAATGACTAAGAAACAAATACGTAGTAGAAGGTCCTAAAGCTGCCTTGGTATCATAATATCTTTCTTACGGCTTTTTTTTTTTTTTCTTTTTAATGTCATATTACCAAAATGCAGTGGATTATATATATTTTATCAATTCTGGGAAGCATCTTGGATAACAAAAATAAACAGAAGTGTTGGACTTGAAGACTGCTTTCCTGCCAGAAGGCCCTTGTAAGCAGCTTTGATACACAGAGATTTCTGGAACTCTACAGCGAGAAGCTTCTGCTGACTTTAATTTCTCCCAGTGATTGATGAGAACCTCAAGATTTCACATCTGCCCTCAGCTGTTTGCAGGAAATGGAATCTACTGTCATCATTCTTAGTCATTATGGGATTTGTTAGTTTAGTCTTAGCATGCACAGGGCGTTAGTTTTGCAGTCAAGAGGATTGTGACAACCCTGGTTTTAGACTTTTTAGCTAAAAAAGTGCCAAATATTTGCCTATTTGTAGAGACTTTTTGAAAGAAGCAGAGATTTTTGAGGCAACCACAGCAGGCAGAGAGCTGCTTTTTCAGCTGTAGGAGTTGTGACTCCGTAAGGTTGGATGACACATCCGATACTGTGGAGGGTTTCTGACAGCTGTGGTGCAGTGGTGCTTTGCTCTCTCTGAGGGAAGAGCTTGAGAGAGAGAGAGAGAGCTCTGCCTACTCACTTCCAGGAGGCAAGATACCACAAATACTTTCTTACCATTTAGGAATAGCTTCCAAGGTGGTTGCAGTCTTTTAAATTTCCCTGGGCTGTGAACATGTGTAATAAGTAGCTCATGTCTCTAAGGGGAGGAAGTGCTCAGAAGCCTACAGAAATATCTACAAAAAAAAAAAAAGTAGAGCCACATAATAAAAAGGGCGCCATATTCTAGACATTTACATGCAAAAATTTAAAAAATGCTGGTGCTCTTCCTATTTTGTGCTTACTTTAGGTGCTGATCATTCAGCTGGGACTCGATATAAGTAAGCCTTTGGACAGCAATCACAAGCTTTTCATGCAGATGTGTGCATCAAGTAATAATTTGAAAATTGTAAGGTTTCACTTAGGACCTACTTTATATTTCAAAAAAGTCAGATCTGAATATTAACCCTTTTCATATGTAATTACGTGGTAGTGTGTACTATTGGTGTGCCAGTCTCTATTGTGGAGGGATTAAAACTTGATCTACAGCCTTCTGTCTTGGAGCTCAAGGGATATATATGTCAATGTACTAATCGAATAACTAGTGCTGTAATGTTTATTGTAAAGGAGGGCTGGGTTAGAATGACTTACAAAGAAACAATTCAGCAGGGTCAGATTTCAATAGCTGCAGTAAATGTCACTGTAATGGAGTTAGTGTGAGA